GCCGCCATGACGACCGAAATCCGACAGCCCGACCTCTTGGATGTTGACCCGATGGAATTTGGCCAGAGTTCGGAGCGCGTCGTGCCACCTGCATTGCTTTAGCAATTTCATTGTCGCTCCACATTCCCAGCTTGCAATGGGTATGACCTACGCTTCTGTCCTATCTTCTGGGCTCCATCCGGGGAAATGATTCTCGGTCACCATGCGACCGTCCAGAAATTCCATGATGTAGAAAGGTGTGCCGATGACATCGTTGTCCTCGCATAGGCAATATACCTTGGGCACCGGGACGTCCGTTTGGCCCAAAGCGTGTATGATTTGGTATTCTCGGTCGACACGATGGGCGGTCCGTGATAGCAGCGAGCCCGGAGGTTTCTTCCTCATCACATATTTGACACCCTGGGCGTCGGTGATCTGGTACGTAGGATTCGACTGGCCGAAGCCGAACTGGATCAATCTGTCAGCAACCTCTATCGACCGTGGTCCATAGCGACGGGAAAGACTGTACCTGCTTCAGGCCGAGCGGAGTCTTAATCGTGGGGACATTGTTGTCGATGTAGCGCTCGAGAGAGGCCAGGTCAATGGGCTGTCGGACTGGGCCCGCCATGGCTGTTTTGCTGCAGTGATCAACAAGGGCTGGACCAGATCACACGCCGAGCGCACGAGGACGTCTCTGCTCTTTTTCTTTCTCATCCAGCCATGGTCGTAAGACCACCGCAGGTCTGCCTCGGAGAGAAGGACTTCCCCAAGCAAAAGGATCCCGTAGCCGATCGGCTTGGGCCTCGGCTCAGGAGCCACCGGAATCCGGATTCCCTGCGATGCGGCTGTATGACGGAAGATCGCACGGTCGGGAAAACAGCGGCAACCTCAGTCACGTGATGCTTATCACGTGTACACTCGTTGGCGAAGGTTACAGCCCGCGACAAACTGAACAAAGGTGCCAAAAGTCACGTGAGTAGAAGTATGGCGGTCTTGGCGGGCATCCAAGCTCCGCGGCTCCCCGCATTCAGCCGCAACGCAGCCTTGAACAACCAACCCCACACAAACACCCTTGTCCTTTCCCGTCCCTGTCTATCGAGGGCGGTCACGTCCTTCGTCCCGTTGCCAATCAACATGGCAGCTGGAATTGCAATGCCAAGCGCGGGAAGAGGGCAAAATGACCAAGCAGCTGACTTGGAGGACGGACCAGCTTCATCAACGCGTATGCATGATTCCTTCCCGTTCAATGCATGAGTTCACTGATCCACTTCAGGCAGACAACACCATCTTGCCAACGATGTAGGCTTGGATATAGAGTCGTCCCCGCGGCCCCTGAACCCAGGGGTACACGGAGATAGTAAGTTGGCCCATCCATCAGGAAGCCAATCAGTCGAGCTTAATGAACATCATAGCACCATTACTTCCTCGCAGGAGCCAACGATTGCAAAAGTTACGAGAAACAACCACCAAGCTTCCAACAGGAAGACACAATCAGACAGAAGAGCCCCTTTTTCTTCATGATACGCCAGGCAGAGCAAATTTCCCATCGAGGCTGTTGGCCAAAAAAGCAAGGGCGACAAAAACCAGTTGGCATCCCTTCTCCCGAATCGTTAGACTGCAGTACTCATTAGAGCAGGCCGCAATCCGTGGGAGAATAAGAGAAGGGATGTATCGAGGCGAAACTCGAAACAAGCGAAACGGTGTGAACAGATTGCTTCCGGCATGCCGACGGAGCAGCGGAACCTCATCGAGCAGTGGCTGGACGAGACTTGCCGATCTCAGCCAACTTCACCTGACATAGCTTCGTCTATTCCAGACGCCAAAACCACCAAGCCTCACCAAATGGCGCGTTCGTCGTTGGCTGGTAGCTTCGAACGACCTTGAACCAGATGCGGAACGACCGACCGTCTGCAAGTGTGCATGACTCGGACTATCGACTGTAACTGCATTAACCCCCTATCCGTATTGATACTGAATGCCAAGACACGCCATTTGGAAGAGATGCAGCAAGCACGGAGAACAATAGCTCGCCCTTGGCTCCCCATTCATGAGACGTATGACAAGGCGCCTCACCCTGAGGCGGGTACCGGAGCAGATATTGAACAACAGCTGGCGCCAGAATCATCGTGGCCATGTCTACGGTACTTGAACCAAAAGAAGCTCAATCGCTGATCAGCCAGGTGTGACGCCACCCTCCCGGATTCAACGCCACCCTCATACCACGAAACTTACTGGCGAATCTTTATCTCTTCAAGTTCCAATTCCGATGCCAGACCTGAGCATCCTGCTGGTGTACTCTGAGGACTGATTTAGCGCTCGTGATATGGCTGTGTAAGCCTCAGCGCCGCTTGTGCAGGTTCTGAGGCGCGACTTAGCAGAGTGAACACAGCCGTGAGCTGTGGCAGGGACCCATGACTCGGATGCTCACAATCTGAACCATTCGAGTACCGGAGACTGGGCTCATTCCTAACTTTGCGATGACTGCAATAACGACACGAATGTCTACTAGACGACACAATGACTTAGAGTCGATGAAGAGGACATGCGCGGTGACTTTCCAATTTTGGTTCCATGAAATATTTGTGTCGACCAAGAGAACGACAAAGAATGCCAATGGTCGCGACACAACAAGACTCCGAATCCGAGCCCATCCGGAACATTGATTAGTCCGGCAACTACCCTGAGAAGCTCCCAGGTATCGAGCTGTTTCAGGAGATAAACAGCCACTGAAGCCCGGTTTCACCCAATTGCGAACGCAACCGTCCTCGTACTTGGCATCTCAAAGACTCTCGGTCCTCTCTCGACAGAATCAGCGCTATTACCACGATAAACAGCATCGTTGTCTTCTCTCCGCCTGTCGCAAATGGCTCCTAGATATATCTGTAAGGGCCGGCGAGAATGAGCTACAGGTGTGCTTCTCTTTCCCTCATTTTCAAAAAGCTCTTCCATTACAGTCACCGCCAAATCTACTCCGTCCAAGGCCGTCCAAGACCCTCCTACCCCCCCACCATCCCGGAGCGTTGATCACCCGTCCAATGACCAGAGCCAAGAAGACGAAACACATTAACGAACCCAGTGAACCGCGGGTGCGACCACGGAGAGGCTCATCACCCTCATTCATACCCCTTACGTCCTCTGGAGACGCATTAACGCATTACAGAGTCGGGGAGACCAGCAATCAGAGTACTACCCAGACGGACACTCCAAGAAGCAGCGGCGTCAATATCTGCCAACGCTCAAACTCTCTGCAGAAGACCTAGAAGAGTTCCGTATCCCATTGGATAGTACGTCCGTCGGGATTGGCGTTATCTCCACAACTCGAGGTGGGAACGGAGGTGCAAAGCGGACGAGGGCTGTATCGATCTGTTCGAACCCGCTCCAAACCTCTACGACGGTGACCACATCATCAATATCGCCTGCTTATTATCGCCATGGCATTCTCAAAACACCCAAATCTGTTCACCAGTTGACGCCCCCAAAAGGATATCGGATCACAGGCGTATGCCACCTTCCATCGTGGCATATCCAAAGCGAGGAGGAGGGAAGTCTCCCGCATAGCGAAGGGCATGTGTACCGAGTTTATTGCTATTATTCAAGCAAGCCGTCGAGAAGATGACTGCTTCGAGGTGGTTATTACGAATCTCAAGGCACTGGATAAAGGGAAGATCTTCGCTTTTGTTAGAAAGGCTGGTATAGCCCTCCCTTGATTCTAACGGTGTGTGTCGTCGCATGCTAAGCCTTGACCTGGATTGGAATCCCAACCCAAAACCCAATCCTCCGCACTTGTTTGACTTCAGACATCTGGGTCAAGCCAACAATCAGGCTGATCATGCTGCCGAAAGACCTACAAAGCGACAGCGGAGAAACTCGTCCTTCAGTCCATCCTTGGAGAAATCACTGTCTGTTCCACTTACCCATGAAGGCAGAGAGCACTGTGGTATCAAGACTCCTCGTCATGACTGTACCATCGGTCTTTCACACTCCACGATAGCTAGCGCACTGTCGGAGCGTGGGCCAAGGACATCGCGCGCGGACGCATCTAAGGAGATTGCAGCGCGAACATATCCTTCATTCAGTTCCCACCCAGAACTTTATGAATGTTCGATTCGGCATCCTGGTGGTTGAAGGAAAGGCATACGTTACCAGCAAGACTGCTTTTGAAGCCGAGAATCAAGCTTAATCGGTCATACAAGGGCAACGCCGTGGCGCGGGACATATGCCTCTACACCGAGACTTCCTACGTGACAATGTGGTAAGATCGAGGATGATGGTATCACAGGCCGGCAGTGAATTCCAGACATGCTGCCAATAAAATTGCCAGCAGGAGGCATCATTAGCACGCCGCGTAGCACTACAGCTATTTATTGTAGTTGTTCCAAGCCGGAACGATCACCTCCTTGGGATAACAGTCAGCATGTTCGGTCGGCAGGTGCCCTGAACCATGTCTTGAAGGTGGACTTTATGGAAAGTCAAGTGTTCGATCGGTGGTCGGAGGTGGCAGATTAAGTGCAGCGTGTCGATAACGGAAAACGAAAACCAAAGCAGAAGCAGAAGCAGAAGCAGAAGCAGAAGAAGAAGGGTATCGTGCACATAAGACTGTGTTCCTCTTCGTATGGAAGTTGCTTGGACCTGGTCGCCGCCTCTCAGAGGAGCAACGCGAGCTCAAGAAATTCCATCGCGTATCTACTCGTCCTGGTATAGGTAGTGAGATCAGCACAGATTTGCCGTGCAGTCGTGTCTGAGTTGGTCTTCCAGACATGATATTGGATCTCTCCACACGCTGTATGCGCGACAGAAGCAACGATTCGAAGCCGAGATTTGGATGGCCTCGCCTTGTACCCAGTATTTCCATCTGAGGACTACTGCGCCAACGTACTCCTATAACCAGTCCGCCGTAATCAAAGCGCAAAACGCGCAACGCGCTCGACGCGTTCCCGTACGCGTCCGTTCCACACTCTCAACACCTAGCACCCACAATTTTATCTATCTCCTGGCCGCGACTTCGACCGACATCAAAGACCATGACCCGAACATCCACGCCGCCTCCACGACCACCACCAGCACCAGCACCAGCGCCGGACGACCAGCACGAAACTCACCACCTCCCACCCTCTCTGCCCAATTCACCTCTAGCCAAGCGTCTAAAGCCCGACACCGACACCGCCACCACATCCGCCGTGAAAATGTCGTCCACATCAAACCGGGAAGAATCTGTGGTTCCAGTCCCCAAACTGACGGCGACATCCCACCCACCCCTCCTGATCAAGAAACTGTCCGCCGACGCCACGACGCCGACACGCGGCTCGGCCTTCGCGGCCGGCTACGACCTGTACGCGTCGAAACCGACGACCATCCCCGCGCGGGGCAAGGCTCTCGTGTCGACGGACCTCTCGATCGCCACGCCCGAGGGCACGTACGGCCGGATCGCGCCGCGGTCGGGCCTGGCGGCCAAGCATTTCATCGACACGGGCGCCGGGGTGATCGACGCCGACTACCGCGGCGAGGTCAAGGTGTTGCTGTTCAACCACGCCGAGACGGATTTTCGGGTCGACAAGGGCGACCGCATCGCGCAGTTGGTGCTCGAACGCATCTACACGCCCGAGATTGTCGAGGTCGACAGTCTGGAGGAGAGTGTGCGTGGCGCGGGGGGGTTCGGGAGTACCGGTGTTGGTGTTGCCAACACCGGTGCAGCTTAGGGTACAGAGTGTCAGAAATGTACTCCGTACTACTGACGGGGGTTCAGTTATTGCTCGGTGATGCCCAGCTCGGTTTTGGACCGATCATTCCTCGGCCCCGGCACGATGCGGAAGCTTCTCTCTAATGATAGGATGATCAGAGGGGATTGATTACCTTCGAGGCGTTGCCCTTGGCTGTTTGAAGCTGGCATGGAACAGGGGTTGGGCTTGGGATAGGCATGGGTATGGGCATGGGTATGGGCACGAGTGGGTTTGGCGCGATATACAGTAGGAGATGATTGGGGAGCAACAGGCTCAGAAGGCAAGGGGTGTAGGTGTAGACAAAACCAAAGTTCGACCCGCGCTGCATGACGGTCTGGTATGTTCCTCGTACTGGTGTATGTATGCATCGTGAGCAACAAGGGCTGTCCTTCCTACAGAGACACCTTTTTGGGGCCCACCATGAATCGTGGTGGTGAGCCTTACTGATCTCCCTTTCGATCCGTACTGTACTGTCACACCTCGATGGCTTGAGCCTTGTACCTCGCCTCGGGATGCATCAAATCCCTCGCGTTCCGCACGACCCTCACTTCTGCGGCCTTTGTCTCGGCCAAAAACCGCCTCTGGCCCTCGCCGACGGTCTCGCCCTCGCCCTCGACGCCGCCCACACTCGCCCCGGGACTCCTGCCGAACTTCTTCATCTCGTCGTCTCGGGCCGTCCACGTCTTCTCCAGGACCATCTGCATGCTGCTGAGCACCTTCTCCGTGGCCTTTGCCAGCGGCAACTCGGTCGCCTCGACGTCGTCCTCCGGCATCCACGCCGCTCGGTCCAGGAGGTTGGCCTGCGCACACGCCTCGCGCAGCCTCGCGACCATGAGCGCCGCAAACATGTCGCCTGTGCCGCTGAAATAGCAATCCAACATCGGGACGTCGATTTTGAACAGTCGTGCCCCGCCGTCTTGCTTCTTCGTGCTTCCTACGACGGTGAGTGTGTTTGCACCGGTGCCCGTGCCCCTGCCCGTGTCTGTGCTTGTGTCTGCCTCTGCCTCTGTGCCTGTCTGCTTGGCCCCGGCGTCCCCGCCAACCCTCACACTCGTGACGACGACATGCCTCGTCCCATGCACGGCGTGCAGCGTCCTCACCGCGTTGGCCACGCCGCTCAAACTGCTGATGCTCACGCCGCTGAGCAGCTCGGCCTCGAACTGGTTCGGCAGGATCAAGTCGGCTTCCCGAATCAAGGCCCGGTACGCGGGCACGATGTCCTCGGCGACGTACAGCCTGCCCTGGTCGCCCATGACGGGGTCGAGGACCCAGAAGAACCCGCCCGGGTGCACGGTCGAGCGGTAGCGCAGGTCCCGCGCGATGGTGCCGATGGCCTCGACGGCCTCGGCCGAGGGCGAGTACCCGGAGAGGAGGACGTCAAAGTCCGTCAGGTACGACTGGCGGAGGCCGTCGTAGAGTTCCTTGATCTCGTTGGCCGGGGTGCGTCGGCCTTTGAATTGGCGGTAGCCCGTGTGGTTGCCTGGGGTGAGAGTGTGTGAGTGGGCGCAGTAGCCGAGTAGAAGGGCAGCAAGGTAAACGATGCGTGGGTGGGGTGAGAGTGTGTGGGTGGACGAAGTAGCCGAGTAGAAGGGAAAGAGTCGGGTGCCCTCAAGAGATGTATGTCCGTAGACTTACTAAATTGCACGGTATTGATGGCCGCGACCTCGCATCCCAGCGCCTGCATGACGAACGTGGCCATCGTGTTGCCGACATATCTGTACAAGGTCCAAGACAACGTCAACACAAAACACAGTCCGGGCGATGGAGCAGGAAGCCGCTTTGCACGTAGCATTCCTTCGAGGGTCTCGCTTCATGCTGTCGCGTGCTGCGTGCTACGTGCTACTGTAGTACGTACCCGTAAACGACCTGGGCAGAAAGTCAGTCAGTCAGTCAGTCTCTTGATCAATTAATCATTTCAGATTCAGAAAATGTGCCACCGAGAAGGAAAAGACGGGGATGCAGAAAGGCAGGAGAGAGAAAACCGACGGGCTAACCCACATGGCTGGCAACGGATAAGACCTTGGTTTCTGGTATGGTGATCTCGGTCTCTGGCGGCGTCATCTCTTCGGGTTGCCGCCTTATCTTGTCTTGCTGTTTACGAGGAGACGCCGTGATAGACGAAAAGACAATGGACAATGAACAGTCAGCGCGACAACAACACGCGAGTCTGACTACCCGAGACAGAAGTTCTGCGCCATACGCTTGCTGAAATACAGTCTATCTTACTGTAAGTGGATGCAGACGGGATGGTGGTGACGGTGTTCGTGGTGCAACGCTATCTCGTGTGATTGTGTTTGTGCCGTTATCTGAAGGCAAATCTGATATGACGCATCGACCGCATCGCACAATGGGCGGAGATGCGACAGCCTCGTCTGCGCGTCAGCACGTCGAGTCCCGGCGGAAGACAAGGCTGCGCAACCCTGAATTGGCCGCTCTGTTGCGCGCAATCGCGCATGGGGGCTCCGAAAAATATTCGTGCCGTCTGATCGTGCAACCACGCTCAACCACCACGCATCGTACATCCCGTTCGGCAGCAGAGGGGCCAACCGTATGCCATCCCTCGTACGTCGCATGTTCTCGTCTCCGGTTTCATTCATCGCTTCAGTCCTGTTCGTCTCCTGCTTCTACATCTACTGCTTCTTCCGGCAAAGTAGACCCCACGTGCGATTCGTCACTTCTCGTAGAGCCATGTCATGTCCGCCATTTTTCGACACAAGGTCTCCGGTGATTCGTTCATCATTCGTCGTCCCCGATCTGTAAATCCACACAGTCAGCATCTGTACCACGCTCTGACACCGCCACCGACACTTCACCGGACAGACGACGTACCTTTGGGGCGAGGTAGAATCTCAAATAGCTGCTCCCGGAGAGGGTGTACTCGACCAGAAGAGGCACTTCCTGGGAGAGGCACAGCTTGACCTTGGAGGACAGCCCACTTGCCTTGCAGAAGTTGACGAGGTATTTGAGCGAGAAGGTCAGGGATACGGGCTCAGAGAGAGCGATTTTGACATCCTGCTCGGGCTTGTCCATGTTGGTGCTCTGGCGGATTGTGACGCTCCCGCTGCCGATGTCGCCTTGACACGAGAACCGCACGCCATCCTTACTCGCCTCGATGGACACTAGAAGAGAACAGGCGAAGTTAGGATCAAGGATTATTGCTCTTTGCCTCAGCTTGTACCATCGATTGTATACTGTGCGTGGGACCTTGTGACCTACCGGACTCTGACATGGCGATGAGATCACGGCAAATGCGTTGGAACTCGTTGCTGGGCATCTCGATCGTGGCCGCGTACTCTGTCTCCGGAATGCCCAGATGCTCTTGGTCAATGTCCATCAACTTGATGTCGTACTCGCTGATGCGGTCGGCGTCGCTGCTCTCGAAGACGAGGTTGACCACGTCGGGCGCATCTTCGGCCTTGAGCGTGAGTATGTCTTCGTTCTGCGCCGCGCGGAGGACCTTGGTCAGCGAGTTGAGGTTGATGCCGAGGGCGATGTTGCGGTCGCAGCGGAAAGGGGAGAACATCTCGGCTTTGAGCATCATCGAGACCAGGGCGACGTGCGAATTGTCCATGGCCTGTAGCGCCACGCCGGAGTCATTGCAGTCAAAGTTGCAGTCTTGCACGAGATCTTTGATCGCGTCGACGACCTGCCACCGGAACATGAGAAAAGAGCGGCTGATGGGAGACGTCTGGGACTGTGTGCGTACCTTCTTCAGCTGCGCAGCCTGTTCCAAACGTGCTTCCAACACTGCGGAAAACACAAGTCAGTTGGGCCTTGGAGGCAACAGTGCAGTCATCATGCTCGTACTTTTTGCGATTGGATTTTGCTTCTCTCTTCTCCTCTCTCGTCTTGAAATCGCAGATACAAATTATGTTGTGTGATGTTGAGATCGTGATGCCGCAGACACGGTTCGGTGAAGCCCAGAAACGCGAAGACTCGCGCGCGTCAGGGTCTAAACTACTTTGGGTCTAATCGAATTTGCTTGGCATATTTGCGCGATGTGTGCTCTTTCGGTGCTACGGTCGACCACACTACACGGCGAGCGCAAGGTGAGCGCCGACGGCGTCCTCGGTCTGACATGACATCATCACCAAGAGAGGCATTTTGTTCGAGCTTCTAGACTTTGCCGCTCGGAATCGGGTTGTAGCTCGACGAATGGAGAGAAAAGATGCAAAAGATTATGTTATGTATGAGAGTTAGTATGGTCAGAAGGTGCCCCTGGGCCGGAAGGACGGAATCCAAGAGTTTCCGAGATGTTCACACCTTCTCGGAACGCATAACGTGCATCCTGCATCTTGTGCTCGCGCTCGCTTCTGAGCGACTTTCCAGGCATGGCGGATGGCGGCGTGTTAGTAGTGCGGTTGTGGTTTCCCACGCACGAAGCTGGACGGTGCTGTCGACGAGCTGAGAGGGACGAGGCGTCTTACGAGGTACTGTGGGCCTGAGCAGGAACCGTCGTAAACCGTCGTCGACTTTCCCCTGCACTCTAGTCCTCTCCATGGTGTACAGGGGATGTACCTCGTCCTGTGCAGGCAACAGCGGGGACCCTCGCATATCACGTGGCAGATGCGGTCCTTCGCCTCGCTTATGGCCCCCCTCCAGGCAACGACGGTTTGAATGGAACCCCAGATGACGCCCTCGACGCTCAGCCTCGTGGGCCAAGTCACGCCCGTCTACTCCCTACCCGCTCGTGCCTAGCAATGAACCGCATTGCGCGGGCCCTCAGTCGCCACCACGACCCTCGTTCATGCGGACGTCGACCAACGTCCACTTTACCCGAACTACTTCTAGTTCGGGGAAGGAAGCACGTTAGGTCACCGCCTGCAGCTCAGCTCGGCATGGCCGCCGCTCCTCTTCTGGCTGGGCGGTTGGTCAGTCGGTCGCCACCCTCGTATAGTGGATGTGAAGTCTGCGGCAGGTATGTCGACGAGGCGTACGCATGCACATCATCCATACGTGGAGATAAGACGCCAGTCTGGTCACTGCAGCCAGAAGCCGACCCGGACGGGCCACGGCGGACTTTTGTTTGAGACGGCAGAGTGACGCCGGCTGTTGCGTGGCGACGACAGCACCCACGCCCAAAAGTCTTGGATGTCATCGCTAGTGATTAGGCCGCTATCACTGCCATGTGCTGAACATATGCCGTTTACAGTAAGGCATCTGAGCTCTGAATGCTGTTTATGGTGTAGGTTGATATGCAAAGATGTCCTTTTGACGGCCGCGAAGCTCTGACCGCTTGATGGACGACTCGGCGCGCCTTAGGGGAAGCCGAATGCAGAGAGAGAGAGAGTGTGTGTGTGTGTGACAGTGTGGCGGACAGGCATCGTTGCAGCTGGCGATTGGAGACGCAGATGGAGATCAGGAACGCTCAATGTCTCGCTCGGTTTCTCGCAAGCTATACACGATACAGAATTCCTTACGTAGAACAAACGGGTCCCTTTCGTCCTCGTTCGGAGGCTGAGAAGCAACCGGCCAGTCGCTGCACTGTCTAGTTCCAAGCGGTATGAACACCAAGGCGGGGTGGTGACAATGAGATCAAATCCTAACACGATATGCGCCAGCGCTTTAGTTGCCTGCAACTGTCAAAAGCTCCTCACGATGCGTCACATTGAAAACGGTCGTCATTGGCCGCGCTCCTCCTTTCAGTCCACCAGCCGGCCATAGTCGTCCAAATAGCTAAAGGTGGTTAGTTCAGCATGGCGAAACCGCAGGAAAGTGACGCTCGCACCTTTGTAGGTAGGGAGACAAGCGAAACCCGGGAATCTGTGATGCTCGCCTGAGATATCTGATGGCTCTGTGGAAGTATTGCTCGTTCTGATGAGAGTACGAGACATTGCCAAGACTCATGTTCGCTTCAGCGGCCTGCAGGGATGATGAATCACCCTTAGTCAGTCCTGTCATGAGAAGGAGATGGGAGGTGCGGAGAAGGCGAGCGCAGGAAGCCCAAACATGGAATATATCCTGACCTCTGAAAGCAGCTCGCCTGCGAGCACTCCATCCCGTTCGCCCACCTCGATGGCTCGGGAAAAGTAGTCCACCGCTGGAATCAGCATGCCACGCGCTTCCACATAGTCGGCAGTGTGTGCTCGGGCATCGGCTTCGGCGGTTGCGCGCTCTGCATCCCTGGCTTCTTCCGAGGATGAGTAGGCAAACCTGTCGCTCAGGCTCTGCGGTCGGCCACTGCTCCCACTAGAAGAACTGCCTTCCGTTCGATGGATCCGCGCGAGAACGTTCTGAGATCGGGCTAACCAGGCCTGCCCAAGTCCTGGTATTATGTAAGTAGCCATCAGAGGATTGGTAAGCTGTAGACTGACCCCTGAGCGCCGTAAGATCTTCACCGTTCCTGTGCAATAGTGATAGCCATTGAGTCACACACCACTCCGCGAGATCGACAACACCAGCAGTTTCCGCGTCATGGTATGCAAGTCTCTGCAAGGTGGCAATGACGAACGTCCGGTCCGCCGTTCGGTTGGGCATTTGCATGAGACCGGCAGAGTCGAAGGTTGCAATGGCCGTACGGGCGATGCGAAGGCGATGTTCCCACGGTATATGGATAGAATCCGTGTCTGCAATCTGTCTGACCTCGCGGATGGCGGCCTCGATCCGAGCTTCCTGCGCCATGTTTAGTCCATCCGGCCTGACTCCCTGATGTGACATGTTCCGACAAAAGGCAATGGTATCGCGATGGTGCCGATTGGGTCCGGTAATATCGAGACTGAAGGTTTCAAAGAATGCTCAAGAAGGAATTTGAACCGGCGCAACAATCGACGTAGAACTTGTCAACCCTTTGACTCAAATCTGAATGGAAACGTGCGATGACGGCCTGGTTCTCTAATACCCAAACCAGCGACCCAGCCACACCCACATGGACCCCTATATATGCACCGGCTCTTGCGATCACATGGGGCCGTAGTCCTCTCAGGCAAAGGTCTCTGGTCGACTGCAGAGAAAGCGTGTGTTGTTCAAACGAATCATAGAAGCTCTCGCGACATCTGTGATGATACTTACATGCGCAGGGACGGCCGTCGACACGCTCGAGCCACCGCCAGGCCATCACCGTTTTCTATAGGACCATAACGTTCAAATCTTACAGTCGCGACGGCGCGTGGCAAACGGGTCCTCTCAACCGAAAGTCAGGGGCGACCCACGACTGGAGATATATTCCAGCGACCGGGGCTGACGGCGGACGCGGACGAAAGAGTTCATACCGAAGAGATTGTTGGGACGAGTCGAAAAGAGGTAAGAGGTCCCTGTGACATAGAGGCTTGGACTAACTGCAGCCACAATGCGACACTCTTAGATCGACCTGCCTAACGTCTGTGGCAAAGAAGAGTCCGTTTTGGGTTGGTGTCGAGGTTCAGCGCTGGGATGAGAGAAGATTACAGTATCAGTTCTAGATCTCTGAACGCCCTCATCATGCCAAGAGCGCTGCGGTCGGGGACATGCTATGGCGCGAGCCCCTCGAAGCAGTCGCCGGGGTCTGAGGTAGTGGTCACCAAGCTCCTGCGCGATCGCGTCGGGAGAAGTTACAGCCAGAGTATGGACGAGTCGTACATATGAAGCCAAAGGACTCGGTGGGGGCCGTCTGACTGGATTGCGCAAGGCACCAGCGGCGGACCAGGCGACAGGGCTGGAGACGGACATAAGGAGATTCGTGCGTCAGAGCGGCCAGCATGAGGTCTTTTTACAAATGCGAATGCGGAAGCAAGAGGCTTGCTGGGAGCTGGCTTTGCAATGAAAGAATGATGCGCGACGTCGAACGTCCATCTTACTAAACTTGGCCTCGGTGAAAGTAGGAACCAGCAAGACTTGAGGGCGCTGTGCCTCTCCCTGCCCGCCAAGAGGCGACGGGAACTGCAGTAAGCGAAGGAATTTGACGAGCACATTGACAGCAATCTCCCTGCCTGGTTGGCACTGTGATGCGTGCGAAAAGCGAGAACCAACTGCGAGATTCTTCGAGACCCTCCCGTGAGTCCCGGGCTGTAAGTAGGCAGTAGCATTCTCGTCAGCTCTGAGGCTGTACGCCGCATACGTGCATAATAGTGCCCGCGGTGTACCTCGTAGAGGATGTCGGGTAGAAACGCTGCACATCATACATCATAGGCACGCATAGGGTAAACGCGGTCAGTACCGGACAATGCCGACACCCGAAAGACTTTGGGTCCATCTGGAGCGGCGGCCGTAACGGGGTGCCCTTAGATCCTACCGCCTCTTTGACGGAGGATGATCGTGGCCTCTCGCATCCGCTACCGCACCTTGCCGCTGTCGATCGAAGCTGCCCAGTGGAAGTCCCGGATGGACCAGTCAAAACTCAAGGGCAACGCGTGGCCGTAACCGTGGCCGGCCTGCCTAATAACCCGTATTGGTCACCCGTCGAAGATGCCCGGCCGGTGTCCCTTCTAAGCGGTTCCAGCGAGAGCTTTCTCGGTCTTTAGCCTCGCTTATGGCCATTACTAACCGCATTGTTCTCGAATCGTGGCTTCTTGGACGGCGCTTGGCATGTTTGATTCGCAGCCGACATGTGCCAGCAGCGGTGTTATATATCAGACCTCTATATGGCCCATGGGAACACAGAGCATCAACGACAAGTTGACCATGACCTTCGTTGCTCACTTCTGCTCTTGTAGTTCTGGATTGCGCAGGAAGTAGGGTTTGCAGAAGTCACAGGTCCTCGTTCGACTGGTGATGCCGGCTTAGTTCACGACGCCACCCGAGACCACCTCTGCGCCCGTCCTCATTCACCATAAAGGCTCGAGTATGCATGCAGTTGCCTAAAACGAAACAAAGGAAAGATCAAGTGTATCCTTTTTTTGCCACAACAAGTGCCCGAACTTTTGGGCATTAGCGCTCCGACTCCATCCTGCCGAAAAGGGTCAGTCGTAGAACGAGGCCACCCTAGAACGCCGTGCATGTGCTTCATGAAATTATCGTCAATCTTGGGACAAGACGAGTCTTGATGCCACATCAGATGGACGGGGACCTGGACCTAGCCCACCCGACCTGCAGCAAATACGACTCAGCTGTCGATCATATCGAGGTGATTCGTGTATCGGACCGGACAAGGGGACGATGTTTGATGACCATTTGCAGTTCTCGCAGCATGTTGGTTGTGTTTTCCGCATTCTCATGCAATGTCTTTCGCTTTCGCCGGTCCTCTTGCAGTTTGCTGAGTTTCTCCTCCCTACTCATTGGTGCCCAAGACATCCTTTTGCGTGGCAAAGCCACAGCCTCGAACACCTCCTCGTCCGCACCTGCACCGTCGTATGAGCTTCGCTCCTCACCACTGAGCAGCTTGAATGCTTCGGCAGGACCTCCGTCGACGATTGTCAAGCCACCAAGACTGCTGGGTGAAGGCGACACCGGTGACCGCATACCACTGGATGCTCGGGACAAGCGCCGGTCGGAGTCAGTGCCTACATTAAGGAACATGGTGTTTCGCCCCTTTTCCCATTCGACCAGAGCGTTCCGAATTTCAGTCCCAAGCTGCTCATAATGTCCAGTGATGGTCGTGCTGAGTAAGGGATCGTCGACCGCACGCATGGAATTGATTTCCTCTCGCAGAAGGTGTACTTTTGCGTTCAGCGATCGAACGGTGTTGGCCACGGCGTCAAACCGGCGTATCTGGGCCTTGGTATGCCGCTTTTGGGGCGCGGTGGTGGATGGGTCACGTTCAGGATCAGGCTCAGTCTCTTCCTGGGCAGAGCCCTCACGGTTGTCTCCGTATTCTTCTTTGACCACAGCATTGTGGAGCTGTTGACTTGCGTGGCATAATGTACCGTCAAGCCCTTCTAACATTCGAGATATCAGCCGCCACTGCTGTATGTTGTACCATGTGGAGCCGGAGCGAAGTGCTAGCAAGTCGCACAGGAGAACCTTTCGAGCAATCAGATGTAGTCGAAACAGGAACCGCAGCTCTCTCAAAGAGTTCCGTGCATCCATGGGAGTCTCGTTGGCAACCGCCACAGCATCGGCATAGTCCTGCATCGAGACCTCGTATATGTCGTGGTATTTGCGCAGATCGATATCCCTCACAAGCAGTTGGATGTCATTGTGGGCTTCCACGCATCGGACAATACTGGCTATCAGAGCATGTCCAAGGGTGCTTCGCAGCTCACAACAGCTGTTGGGTGATTCCCCCGTTTCCAGACGGCTGATTGGAGGCAATGGGTGGCTACTGTTAATGAGTCAGCAAGGCAGCCTGTCATGAAAGGGGTGACCCAGAACCTACATTTCGTAGCCTCGAGACACGACTTCAATTTCTTGAACAAAACGAAGCGCCTCTGTTGTAATCCCATCGTAGTTGTGGGAGCTGGCAACTGCTTTTCCTAATGCTGACACCGCCGACTGCCGCACAAACTCTAGGTACTGACGCCGGCCGAACCAGAAGAGAACCAAGCAAGCCCCAATAAACAGCGACGTGTATATGCATAGTTCCGACCAACTTGACGAGATCGATCGAGGTGTCCGATACCTTCGCTGCAGCAGATGTAGAGACCACGCCACCGCAAAGGAAATTCCTGCTGTTATAAAAGCACCTTTGAGGGAAAGGGTAGTTGCGGTGAGGGACGGCTCATTCTGGAATTGGCGCCGGGGTTTTGGCTCGTCGGAGAGCAGCTGCGAAGCGACAATGATATAGCGGAACTGTTCGATCAGACGCTCGTTGGCGACGTCCGTGACTGAGGCGGCAGTCCTGCGTATCGTCCGCAGCCGGTCGCGCAGTTTGGGGAGACCTCGAGGTGCAAATGTTGGTTGTGCGTCAGTTGGAGTGGCGGGCGGATCGGCTGATTCGAACGGGAAGGCGTCTCCTTCTAAATAGTCGGCAATAGGCGATTCATGATATATTAGAGCTTCCATGACATTGTCGGTACATTAGTGGTATGCAGAGGCGAAGATGGTGAAACAACTGAAGCGTCGAAGAGGAAGAGAGGCGCGTGTGGTGGTGATGATCCAAAAATCGTCCGACCACGCAGCCGCCAGGGTCAGGGGCACTAGGGGCCAGGCAAGCCACAGTGGCTGCTGACCTGATGGCTCGGCTGACGCCAATAGTTGCCCCACTGCCCCTTCGAGGCGCCCCCGAGTGGCTCGAGGCGCCAACGTGCGAAGCCTGGACCCCAAACTCAAGGCCGGATGAGGTAGAACTACGGGTGCCGCCAGGATAAATCCCCGTCTCGAGCCCGCCGATCTAGCCCCTGTGCCGGGAAACGTGGCTCAGCCGAGATTGATCCAATTAAACGTCAATCCATCATTGAGGTTCCGACAAGGCAAATGTGATCTTTGTTAACCTGCGAGCAAACCTTCTCGACGCTTCAGATGAGTCTTTGTCGATTGCGTCTTCGGCTTATTTGATGTGCTGGAATTGTATCTGCCCGACATCAACTTGTGGTGAGAAATGAGATTCGAGACTCGCCTTCTCGTTGGATTGTGCAGAGTCATCTCGAAAATGCTTCAGCAAGTCGTCAATTCTTCTTGATACACAACAACAAAGAGTGCCATGCCACGCATGGGTTGAAGAAAGATTGTTCCTGGACAATGACGCTATTCACGAGGCTGGACGGGAGTGGAGGTGAATAGAAAGATTTCCATCACGAGCCTCTCTACAGGCTGGAGTCATTCACAGATCCCATCCATGATGTCCCTTGACCAGTGAAGAGCATATGGCGAGGCCTGGTGAGAACAATGAAGTGACAATATTTGCGCCCGAACGTGATATAAGTCACCGTACAGTCTTCCTCTTTTTCTTCTTCGCTCGACAAGTCCCCTGTCTGTGACCATCACTAACACTCCAACAAAACTCATTGTCCCTTCCAGTATCCTCGCGATAACCATCAGTCGACATGGCAACGACTGAGCCTCCTGACAGATTGTACGCGGAAGAGTCCAATGCGGAAGCCGAAGTTGACACCGTCGAGACACCAAAATTGCTGCACATCCCTGACTTGAGCACGGTCCCTGGCAATGGGCTGCGTAAACTCAGCGAAGTGAATATCGTCGCGACTGAACGGTATGGCGATCTGTACGCCCCAATCTTCCGCCAACTCCAGATCAGACCAGACAAGTACCATGACTTCCACAATGGTGTGATCCGCGTTGTCCGGAGAAAACAGCAGGCAGAGATCCGGCGCGCCACAGGGGCCAGTATCAAGACAACGACGGATTACTTGCTTCGTGCATTTGGCTACATCGTCTGGACACCAAACTCAGAATGGCTGCTTGACGAGAAAGATCTTGATGAGGGAGAAGCGCGGTTGCTGTATTGGAAAAACAAAGCCGTTGATCCTAGGTATGAAGCCACTTCTCCGCCCTTCTGTCTCCCTCGCATTGCATCTTTCCGCGAGATGGACACGGAAGCTTGCGGAAGGGCTTTCATCACGGAGCCATTTTGACCATTCAACCCAAACTTCTATCGAACAAGTCGGCGATTGTCTTGCCAAGCTCCTTTGCTAACAACCTCCCTCCTCAAAAGGTTCCACCCTGTCTGCAAGTCGCTCTGGCGCCAGATGCGAAACGTGCAATTCACCCGCCGCGCAACACCCCACCGAGGACAATCTTCAAGTGACGCGCCAACCGTGATGGCAGACGGTGATGAGTCTTACATGGGCGATATCGACTCCGGCCATCCCTCCCCTCACAGTCGCGCTCGAGCTACAGCCATGAAGAAAATCGAAGATCTGTCCGCCGAAGTCGCACGAAGACTACCGGCACCATCCCGCATGAACGCTGACCAGACGGAAGAGGCCATCATCGATCTGATCACCAGATCAGCTACGATTCGAGCCAACAGCGACCCAAAGATTTTTGAGGAACTATGGCAGGCGCACATCATGCGAGTTGAGGAATTGGAAGAGGAAATCGCACACGGAGGGGGACCGATTGCAAACTGTGAGCTCTCATCAGAATCCATCCCCGTCTAACTTCTAGCTCTTCTCTCTGAAAAAAACTCATGTAAGAAGCTAACAAAATGACAGCGGCTGTGGAGAACCTTCATCCCGCTGTCACCGGCAACCAGCAGAACGCTACTTCTCCGTCCAACGAGCCCTTCAACACCTCTGGCCTGGCCCTTGCCCACTCCTACCCAAGCACCTTAGCCATCGCACCCGCTCTCCCCTCAATCATGTCGGTCTACATCAGCATGGCCCAGGTTGCGTCTCCCATTCGTAACCCAGCGCCGAGCACTGCCGCAGCACCCATGACGCCTGCCTATCACTGGCCCTCGGCCCCGGTTGAAAATCATCACTTCGTCAACTTCTTCACCGGCATTAATTATCGTGTGGATGTTCCTTCAGCGCGGATACTGGGTTAGGTGCTCAGTTACGGCTGGAACGATGTCTGTCGCTACATTTCTACAGGTCGTGTTCAGGGTGAGATGGCTGGAAATACTGCCGATGTCAGAGCTCACGACGGAAACGACAATGCTGGTAGGGTTGATCAAGAAGTCGAGCGTGCCAAGGACATGACCGATGTGAATACACCAGCTTCGGCAACTACAACACCCACCTTCGCACCAAATGAAGCAAAGAGCAAGGAACCCGAGGACTTCACCATTCCGGAATGGCAGACCATGGCACTCGGCTGGCGTGACTTTCAGAACGATCTGCGGTATGCAGCCCAATCCGGCGTGCGAGTTTGGAGGATGAAGGTCTGTGTGATCACCGTGCATGCTCGAGACATGCACTGAGACGGATTCCAACAGCGAGCCTGGGGTGTGGAGGACAGTTGACAAGCACTGTATCGCATGAGGCGACCACGCGACTGAACAGGTCATGAAGCTGTGCCTGAATCGAGATGGCATGCAGTGCTGGCGTACGGCTGCAGCACCACGCACGCGAGATATGTACTGAGCTGGATTCAAACATCGAGACTCGGGTGTGGCGGACAGTTGACAGGCCCTGCACAGCGATAGGCGACCACGCGACTGAATGGGTTCATGAACCTGCTCTTGCGCAGATGACATCCAATGCAAGCCTGCGGCCACTCCTTGTGAATTAGGACAAGAATTGAATAGTCATTGAACGCGATGAGCGTAAGACTCGTGCTTTTGAAGATCTGCAAATGTACCACGGTTGGAGTAGTTCACGGTGATGCCCCTGAGATGCTCGGAGATGCTCGTATCGGCACGTGCGCGCAGTTGAAGTGACCTCACGCTTGCCTGGTGAGCGGATCCTTGGGGATCCTCGATTGGCCCACCTCAATTTGACAGTGCACGAGCGAGGGAGCAAGCCGGGAAACCAACTGTACTGGGTAGGGAAGCGCAGGCGCCCCTTTCGCGTTCACCCGCGCATGCAGCCAGGATGGGGCTCTAACCAAATTTCTGCAACCCATCACACCGGTTATCTCCTGAACAGCGGCGAACTTTCAGAGGAGAGGCCATCTGTCGTTCAAAGAGATTCCAAGAGTGAGATCTCAGTACACAGCGCGGAGGATCTTTCCACCAACTTGCTAGAGACGCGCCTGTTTGCCGGTCTGAATCCAGTCTGAACTGTATCGGTTTCAGTTGCACCCGTCCATTGATCGCAGCACAACGCTAGCTTCGGCCGCACCACACCTACTATCACTGCATACAATCTTTCGAGTCGAGTCACCAGCTGCGCCCCGCAGAAAGCCGCTCACCATGGGGAACCAAATATCGAAGATGATGGGCAAGATCTTCGGGTCAAGAGAAATGCGACTGTTGATGCTGGGCCTGGATGCGGCAGGCAAGACAAGTGAGTGCTATACTCGGGCGGCGCGCTGTCGCAGAGCATACTGACGCGGGAGCAGCAATTCTGTACAAACTGAAACTCAACCAAGACGTGACGACAATCCCTACCGTCGGCTTCAACGTCGAGACCGTCACATACAAGAACGTCAAGTTCAACGTCTGGGATGTGGGCGGGCAAGATAAGATCCGTCCTCTCTGGCGGCACTACTTTTCCGGCACTCAAGGTCTCATATTCGTCATCGACTCCAACGACCGAGCACGCATCGACGAGGCACGACAAGAACTGCACCGCATCATTCTGGACCGAGAAATGAAAGAGGCACTATTGCTGGTGTTCGCCAACAAGCAGGATATACCGGGCTCGATGACCCCCACGGAGGTGACGGAGAAGCTGAGATTGACACAACTCAAAGAACGGACATGGTATGTTGTGCCGAGTTGCGCAACTACCGGTGAAGGACTTCTTGAGGGACTGGTGAGTTGCTTTGTGTTCGGAGAACTCTGAGAATGGACTGACGCAATTTCAACAGAGCTGGCTGTCGACGAACGTCAAGGCACAACCGCGGCCAGCACCCACCAAATGAGCGTCTCCGTCGCTGACTTGGACCAGTCGCGGCGAGCAGTGGACAGCGATGACATGGCCGACAACCACCAAGATACCTATTTGCTAGCGATATTTTTCGGAAGCAGATTAAAGCATGGAGTTCAGCGCAGTTACATTTCCCAGCAGCTTGTGGGACGGGCATTGTGAGGAGCATGGAGCAATGCTACTCGGTTTGGAACGCCAGCGCATTGCATCGAGGCATCCGTTGTACTTCACCTTCTTCTCGGTGGACCGCGGTCAGTCCAAGATCATCTTTCCGTCAATGCTGCTCCAGTCGACAACAGGATGGACAGAGAGAAGATTGCAAATGGTCCGCGCTGAAGCTGAGAAGGCCATTGTGAGTCAGGGAAATTCGAAACAAGCCCAAAAGTCAGTCTGGTTGAGTCTTGCCATATGCGACAATGGTGCAACAACCCTATATGTACTAGTTGTGACTGAGAAGTGTACGTTTAGTCAGCCTTGTGGCAGCTCATCAAAAGAGATCTGCGTACGAGGTACTCATAGGAGAAGAGTCATGTGTGGCGGGGGCGAACTGTTGGCACGCGCATTGTTCTAACGGTTGAGTCTCGCGCACGCCGCTCTCGAGCATGCTTTGCAATATACGGAGTACGACCCTCGGACCAAACGGGCGCTAGGAAGGAAGTCCTCCCTACTGAGTGCTGTGTTCCGAGTACTGTAGAGGCGTGCAGCTGGTTCTCCCTCGCATCGCGTGCCTAAAACAGCTCATTGAGCCCCGCTAATCAATTAATTATCTGGAAATGGACCTGGTGTGTTTCTCTCTTGGGCCCAAATTCGCCGCAAATCCCTAATTAATTAAAGTAGCCGACCACAGACCGTGCGTGAGTGGCTGCTCCCAGCAACCCAGCGTTATCGGTCCCACCATTTACGGCTTGGTCTCCCTAGACTGTTGGACCAGATGAAGCCGAGGAAAGTCAGTGGTGAGGAGCATCGGAGTTGTTCTCCCAAGCCTGCGTGCAGCGGGTATGCACTCGCACACTGCGCTACGCTGCTGGCTTCAACAGATGCAGTAGCACTGCAACTACCACATGCAGCCCATGTTTCTTGTCACCTGTCAAGACCTGGACCTGCGTGAACCCCCTGAACTGCAGCAGATCGCATGCAAGGGCAGGGGATGTCTCGTCTGCTGATTACAGTAGGCGTTCTGCAAGTGAACAACCTCTCGCTCACCCGATCAATCAATTAATCAGTCAGTGATTTTTCAGAGTTCATCAACTCTGCCTCCGGCTGACAGTGTTCATAGGACAACCACCCGCGTCCACTCCGCCTCCCGCAACATCGACAGGCCCTGACTACGGTGTCCTTAATCCGGACTATTGCTCCGCCTCGTTGCGCCATCCCACGCCATTCTCCAGCTTTTCAAACCTTCCGAGACCCGAGCTATCCCGCCGTCAGCCAGCTGCCACCTGCCAGACACGGCCCGTCCCTGTAAACCCAACTGCGGAGGGGGCGGCTCAACTGCTCTCGTGCCTCTGGGAGGCTGTCTGCTAGTCAGTTCGTGCGGTCCGTCCGTGGGGCCCTTGTCTCGCTGAAGCTTCGAGGCCGTTTGATCGGGAGCCACTCTTCCGCACCATCCTCCACCTCGTGGTCGACGTGACGGACTGGGCCATCCCTGCTTTGCGGGCTGTCGGCACCCAGAGAGAGGGATTTGTTTGATTTCCACCTAGAAAGAAGACCGTCGACCCTGAGGAGCCTGGCCTGCCTTACCCCTCCCACACCACATCGCATCATATCCTGTCCGGCCTTCTTCGTCCGCGCTGCAAGAGCAGCTAGGCATAAGAAGCCTTGCTGGTTCTGCCCCCTCTCCTCCGTGCTTCTCATCCTTACACAGTAGGCGCCGTCGATTGTCCCTGTCGGCGAAACGACCAGCTCTCTGCATCATGGCTACGCCCGATGGAGCCGTCGAAGTCAATGGTACACATAAGCCGTCGGTGCTGATAGTAGGAGGGCTTGGTGAGTGATATGCATCACACAACTCTCTGTGCCCCGGCTGACCCAAAGACAGGGTACATCGGTCGCTTCCTCGCAAAGTACATCCACACCCAGAACCTGGCCTCCTCCATACGTCTAGTCGACAAGGTGCTGCCGCAGCTGGCGCACCTTGGCCCCGAGTTCAACGAGGCATGCTCGCAAGATAAATTCATCCAGGCCGACGCCTCACGCGACACATCCATGGCGCGAGTCTTCGATCATCCGGACGGCCCCGACGTATCGTGGGACTACGTCTTCAACTGCGCAGGCGAGACCGCCTTGTCGCAGCCTTCGGAAATATACAAGCTGCGGTCCTGGCAGGTGAGCGTCACCTTGGCGAAGGAGGCCGCGAAGCGCCACGTCAAATCCTTCGTCGAGGTCAGCACAGGAATGGTATATGCCCCGAACCGGACGCCGCGGACCGAGCAGGACAAACTGAAGCCGTGGCTCAAGCTGGCAAAAGCGAAGCTGGAGGCCGAACAAGAACTGTCACGGGTACCGGGTCTCAACCTCGTCATCCTGCGCCTGGCGCACGTCTACGGAGAATACGATTCCAAGTTTATTGCGAAAGCTCTGTGCCTGGCCCGCGTCTACCAGGAGCAGCAAAAGGAGCTGAAATGGCTGTGGACCGAAGACCTGCGCATCAACACCGTGCACGTGGAGGACGTGGCCCGCGCGCTGTGGGCAGCCGCCGAATGGCGGGCCAAGAACGCAGTCATCCCCCCGTCGCTGTTGTCGTCATCGTCATCTTCCTCCTCCTCACCGACACTTTCCCGCCGACCGACGCTTTCCAAGGGCGAAGACGCCCCCAGCGGGAACGTCCCCGTCTTCAACATTGTCGATCACGGGCAGACAAGCCAGGGCCAACTGGCGGACATCATCTCCAAGGTCTTCGACATCAGGACCGGCTTCCAGGGCACCATCATCTCGCAGTTCGCCAAGATGAACCTCGAGCACGTGGTCGACGATCTGAATGAGGACCTCCTCCAGCCGTGGGCCGACATGCTCGAGAAGAACGGCATCACGAAACCGGGGCCCCTTACACCATTCCTGGAAAAGGAACTGCTCAAGGACACGGACTTGAGTCTCGACGGTTCGCTGTTTGAGCGCGTTGTCGGCTTCCAATACCATCGTCCCGACGGCCTTACTGTCCAGGGCATCAAAGATATGATTGCCAGTTATGAGAAGATGGGGTGGTGGCCTTGAAGGGTGACCCAGTCGCGTTTATTTCCCTTGCCTGCTTCTGCTTCTGCTTCTGCTTCCCAAGAAGCGGAGTTTCACTAATGTCCGCACGCCACGCCACACTGACGGAGGCATCCGCGATGGAATGGAATACAAATGGACTTGATTTCACAGCGCACAGCTCACAATCCCCAGTTTGAAACGACACCAGACTCCTCATGTACGGCCGACAAGACGATATGGGATGAGATGGGATGAGACGAGGACGGGATGGGCTGTGATTCACGACATGCATGCATCGCATCGCTCCTGTTTGCTTGCTGGCTGGCTGGCGACTTTGCGACCGTTCGCTAGTCGGGCTACTGTACTCGTACAGTCCCATCTCCTGTATTCCATCGTCCATGGCACCATCTATCCCAGTCTGTTTCGACACTTCAGATTCTTCTGATCTTCATCTTGTACTTTGACACTTCAGCGCCCAGATATTACACAGATGCCAGACTCCGAGACATCCCGACTCCGAGATCACATCATAGAAGACTAAACCAAAACACAAATACCCACGTGCGGTACCACAGTCCGCCTTTTCCTTGCATGCACGCGCGCGCGCTTCCTTCCACTACCTCGTACGCCACATACATACTTTCAAGGGACGCCAGACGGGACGAGACGAGACAAGAATTCAGAAAGACATCAAGACGAAGCTTGACATTGAATCCGCGGGGGAGTGGTTCGCCGCAGTCTATATGATGAATGTGGGCGTGGATGGATGGATGGATGGATGTGGACGTCTGGATGTGTATGTCTGTCTGTCTGTCTGTGTGTATGTGGTGCGAGATCCTTCGATACCTTAATCACTGATACGATGCGTCAGTAATGACGAGTCATGTCTCTACCTGATTGTGGTGATGGGCGTGCCTAGGACTCCCATGCCGTAATGTTATCTCCGTTCCTTAGGGTACCTACCTACCTACCTACCTGTACGTAGGCAGATAGGTACAGAGTTAGCAACAATGGATGGGATGTCTGTGCCAGAGGACGAAAATGCGCTTTTCATTCACTTACTACTCGATCACCCACTCCCTTACTCATTCACCCACCCACCCACTCACTGAGTAGTTGTATATGTAGTAGCTGCATCTGTACTTAGTATGGAGGCGCATTTGTGGGAGTATTCCTATGTATTGAGCTCATTGGCCAGTGGCCACTGGCAACTGCCCTTGCCCTTGCCCTCTACCCTCTACCCTCTACCCTCTACCCTCTACCATCTACCCTCTACCCTCTACCCTCTGTGCTAGGCCCCCACTCAAAGCATCGAATGACCTCCATCCAAACTGACCGCTTCGTCTGGGTCCGTCAGGATCCCTTCCACGAACCGCCACCCTTGAAGCTTCATGAGCTTCCACTGCTCGGCCACCTTCTTGGTCACGAGATCGCCCGTCGCGACTGCATCTTCCTTGGAATCGTGGCCCGCCTCGCCTGCTGTCTGGATTCCCCGCGAGAGAAACTTCTGGCTGAGCGTCTTCAGGCCGAACCGGACCGGCAGACCGCGGGGGTGGGGGTAAAGCAGTACCGTGTCCACGACCAAGGGGTGTATAATGCGCAGGACGTTGAGGTCATTCTCGATCGCGTGCCCGATCAAGGGTGTCTCGGAACTGATCAGATCAAAGAGCAGCTGTCGAGCCGCGGCGGGAGAGTCCACTCTACGGAGCTCGTCTCCTTCGACAAAGGGTGCCTGATAAGGCTTCGCCGATGCATATATCTCCTTGGTTACCCCGGAGAACCGGGTATTTAGATCGAGAATCTCCCCGTACGTGCGTACAAAGGCGTCGAGTAGGAGTCTTCCGTCTGGCCAAGACACTGCGGTGACGCGAATGACTTCCATCCCCAGCGTGGTGTAACCCATCTCACAGTCGAATGACACTGGTTGCAACGGTCGGACACCGGGCTTGTCGGGCGTGTGTTCAAACTGCAAAATACTTGCGAGGCGCTTGGGATTTTTGACCCCGAAAACGTGCGTCTCGCCTTCCGAGCAGCCTTCACTGCCTTCCGGCTTGTTACAGCACGGGTAGACTGCTTCAGATCGACCTTGACGGTTTGCTCGGGCCCAATGGTACCGACATTTCCCTCCGCTGGTTAAGCGTCCGTGGTCATCTCGGCCTGGGAAGACCTGAAACCGGGTACCGCATCTATCGCATGTTTCATATCCTTTGGCTGCCGCGACCCCTGCTTTCGCCGTGGCAATCTCCACAGCAGAGGGCTGCGCCGTGACATATCCATACTTTTCCAGTCCCTCCAATCGTGTCCGTAAATGCCTGAGCACGGCAATCTGCTGATTCAAGGAAGAGAGGCCTATCGAACTCAAGTCGACACTAGGGTTTGTAACGTTTTGTTGAACCTTCGCGGATGACGATACACCCGTCCACTCAGAAACTCTCTTGACCCATTCCTCAGTGGTCATCTTCTTGATTCTCATAATGGTCTGAGAGACTGCGTTTCTGTAAATGTCGCCTTCCAGTTTCGTGGCTGCTTCTTCCTCGTCGAGCGCGAAAGTGATCAATTCCTGCTCATCCAGAACAAGCGGTTTCCATTTGGCGTCCGAGCTGGCAAGCTTGCTGTTCTGGGCTTTCATTTGCTCGTGGAGTTTCTGTAGTACTGTCAACCTGGTTTTGAGCTGGGCCGGTGCCTTGATCACGTTGCGCGGTGTCAGTGTCTCCACTTTTGGCGGGTTCTTCTTGGTTGTTTGTGATATCTCCTCCGTCCTCTTCGTTGGTGGTGGGGAGACTTTCCTGGTCAAGGAGGCTAGTTCTCTGTTGGCAGATGTTTGAACCGCAGTACGAGGACCTCCTTTCAAAATTTCCTCATGCTCTGTGGAAGTGGCCGTCGACTTTACCCTCGGGGATGACTGTCTTTTGGGCGCTGACGATATCGGGGGCGAAAGACGCGTATTCTTCGCGTCCTCACCATCTACACGCTGTACATCTCTCGGAGGGGATTCTAGCCGCCTTCTCTTCGAAGGTGGAGGTGACACATCTCCAGCACTGAGAGGGTCATATTCTTGCGCCACCGCGAGCGTCTCGCCTGTATCGAAAGTACGGGTTGGAACGCAGTGTGAGAAGATGCAAATGGGAAGGTCGCAGTCATGCTGTCGAGGACAAGGAGTTGCACGAAAGCGTCCCAAGGAGGAGAACATCGTATCGGAATGGACGAGGACAGAGTATGTTGATAAGCATGAACGTTCGATGGTGAAGGGTGTTGGCTAGCCTGCTTTCGACGTCAACCACGAACCGGGTACGGGCTTGAGCCTTGAGGAACCGGGGATTAGCGATTGGATGCGACAGGGACCTTCGGGGAAATGATCGTGTGTTTAAAGATTCGTCACCAAAAGCAACACGGCCTGCCTTCAACCCTAGCCCTAGCTGTTTTTCGTAGCACCCAATAGCATCAGCCAGTGTCACCCAAGTGTTCGCTCTGACGTTGATTCAGGCAAGGCCAGCCACTCAGCAGCCCCGGACGTCCGTCACTATCAGGTAACTCGAAGCCTTGCAGTGGGGGATAGGCATGCTCCGGAGCCAAGAAGCAGCGGGCAGCAGCCTTGGGTGCCACGGGTACCACCTTATCGCCCGCTGAGATACGGGTTGTGATATCGTTCGAGGTCACAGACAGGAACCGGTGTCCATTTTAGATACGTAATGCGTCCTTGGTTGTGTGCGGCATATCTGAGGGCGAGATCAGGCGGATTGATTCGTGGGACGACCGTGCTCAGCGGCCATAAATGCCAGCTGTCGCTGTGCACGAAGGCGAAAGTATTTCTTCTCCTGTTCCACGCGTGAGACGTAGCTTTGTTGTCCTCGACGAAAGCTGCGGTGCTCCTGATCTGGTTGCCTGCTGTCAGCTGCCTGGACGTGTGTTCCAGTCGTAAATCAGATAAATCTCAGACTGGACAGAGAAGCAGTCACTTACTGTACTGAGACGATTGTGCGTGACGACTCAGACGACAGTGAAGTCCAGGTCAAATTTCCTCGTTCAGGTCTCAAGCCGCACGCTTCACACTTCACGCCCCTCGGGAGTGCCAAACGACCAGCAAAGACAGCCCATCACTCACTAGCAGGTGCACGGCACAGGCAAGGTTCAATAATCCGTCGCCTAAGTTGAGATTCGGGGGTTGAGTTTGGGGGCACCGGGCTGTCGAGGCGTCTATCCTTTAATTAACTGGAGCTTGTCGGCGCTCGGGTGTTGCTGCTTCCCGGCTTGCTAGGGGCGCGCCCCGGGAGAACGCACGCGTCATTACGCTGGCTTGGCGCGGGCGGCCGCTGACTGGCGCCTGCTCTGATAACATGTCGCTGCCCTTCGACCTGCGAAGCATCAACAAGCAAATCCTCTTCTTCAACTGGGAGATGGCTCCCGCTCTGCGAAAGTCGGGACAATCTACTCCTCGAAAGGCGCAGCATCTCGTCGTTCTGGTCCACGGGCTGTGGGGGAATCCGGGTCATCTGGACTATGTCGCAAAGTCGCTGCGTGATCGCTACGGTGACGAGGAACTCGTGGTACTCGCTTGTCGCAGGAATCTCGGCTCCCTGACCTACGAGTGAGTCTCCTCGAAAGCAGTCATGACTTGCATCTTTCTTGCGACTCCTCTCGAGTACTGACGAGGAAATAGTGGTATTGAAGTCGGTGCTGAGCGGGTCGCCAGGGAGGTCGAGGATGCTTTGGAGGAGCTGGGACGGGATGGTCACAAAATCACCCGATTCTCCATAATCGGGTATTCTTTGGGAGGCCTGGTCGCGCGATACACAATCGGTCTGCTTTACCATAAGGGACTCTTCAACCGCATCAGCCCGATTAACTTCACGACTTTCGCAACGCCGCACCTGGGTGTCCGGACGCCTCTGACCGGGTATCAAAACCATCTGTGGAATGTCCTGGGCGCTCGCACGCTATCAACATCTGGGCGGCAGCTGTTTCTGATTGATAACTTCAGAAACACGGATCGACCTCTCTTGAGTGTTCTTGCAGACCCTGACAGCATCTTCATTCACGCGCTTGCTCGTTTTCAGAACCGGTCTCTGTACACCAATATTGTCAACGATCGTACGGCAGTCTTCTATACGACCGGAATCTCAAGATGCGATCCTTACGTCGATATGGGGAAGATCAACCTGCACTACCTCAAGGGCTACGAGCCGGTCATATTGGACCCAGAGCATCCCTGCGATCTGATACCGGAGCAGGAGCTGCCAACCTTCTACCAAAGATTTCGCATGCATAGCCAGACTTATCTGCGCAGAGCACCCATTTTCCTCGCACTGGTCGTGCTGCTACCCATCGCAACGATAGCTTTCCTCGTGAACTCGGGCATCCAGACGTTTCGCAGCCGACGGAGGATACAGTTACATGAGGCTGATCGTCGGGACGAAGGGTTTGGTCTATACAGAATCCCTTGGATGGTCCAGGATATGCGCATTGGCCTCGAGGATGCTTTCGAGAATGTGAATGCTGCTCAACAACAGGAGTACCTGCCAGAGGGAGCAGAAGAGATAGCAGATGCAATCGTAGAAGCCCCTGCTCTGTCTTCAGCGGCTTTTGCGCAGAGTACCGAGTCCTTACTGTCTGAGAAGTCAGAGAGTGACCGAGCTCCGCTCGCAGAACGATCTCCGAACTTCCCGACCTTAGCACTGACTACGGCACAGTTTGCAATGATCAAGGCGCTCGACGACGTGGGACTCCGGAAATTCCCCGTCTACATCCACAAGAGCAGCCATAGTCACGCAGCGATCATCGTCCGCTTTCCCAAGGCTGCATTTGAGGAAGGAAAATTGGTGGTGAAGCATTGGCTGGACAATTTCCAGATTTAGTTTGGTTGCACCTTCGCTGGAGTCGAGTTCACAGCAGCGTTGCATATGAGCAAGAGGCGGTAGGAGGTACTGTACTCGTACGAGTACACTTCTCCTGTGCGATCCCCAAGCATCAGCATCATCATCATGCTCAGCGTTGTCCTTATCTTTCAGCAAGCGACCCCAATCGGCGAGATGGCTTGGAGCAATTTGGGATAGTGCAACATGGTTAACCTCGCAACAGTCTTGGACGTACCAACTTTCAGCGTTTCTGCTATTCGCACATGTCCTCTGTTATCAAAACTGTCAGCCCAGACCCATGTCATCGCGAAGGTCATGCATGAAGGCCACCCACGACCCATGCGCACTCGGAAATCGGCAATGGACTCACCTCATCGAGTGTATACTCGTAGGGTTGTTCTCGAGAGCGGAGACCTGCGCCACTTCAAAGGCTTATGTGCCCTCAACCCATAGGGCAATATACAGGTGATCTCGGAACGCTACATGTACCTGAGGAGGCTGCAACTGCGCACGACTGACGAATTATGGACGAGCATACGAGGTTTCTGCTGCCCCGGTACCTGACTAGGTAACCCGTACATTGTCTGACGACTCGTACCTGGTCCACCAGCTATGCGAGTACGGACCGTAGTGACGTCAAATGGATACAAGCGTCCAACACGAAGGAAGACCCAAAGCACGACACCGCAGGTTGCAGACAGGCTGAGACCAAGCTATTCGCACCAAGTCGTCTCAGGCTGTGGATCACTCTGCAACTCAAGACCTCGCGAAAATATCCCACATGTCACGACTCCAGCAAAACCCAAACAGCGTCCAACGACCATCTATGCGGCTTTTAAAATCTCTGGGGGCGGCGGACTTTAGCCTCGAGATCGCTGAAGGCGGCGACGTCTATTCGTCCGACCAAGGACGACATTAGAAGCAAGGCTACGTCATTCCCTCCTCGTCGATACCCCTGTTGGTTGATATTCCCGAGAAAGGCTCCAGTACTTCACCGCGACGTGTTTCCTTCAGTTTCGTGATACCCACTGTTTAGGTTGCAATTATCTGATTTCTTCCACTTTTCCACCACGTGGGTTGTCTAGTTGCCTCCACCTCCAGTATGGGAGCGATGGCAGTGTCTTATTGAAGGCGATATATATATACGAAGTACCACCTCGGCACTTCAGAGAATCAGCGTATCTCCTGATCTCATACCTGGCTCTTGGACACAAGCCACTTGCCAAACACTCCGTTGACTACTCAAATCCCATAACATACTTCGACCGGCCTTGTTGCGCTGCAGCGCTTGGGAAGAGACTCGGGCAATCAAGATGGAGTCCGACAAACCCTCAGATCAGGACTCCGGCATGCTGTATCCCACGGCCGCTAAAGCCTCCCATGCCGGCCTAAGAAGAGTCTCCAGTCAAAGTGCTAAACGCGAGGACCTTTTCTCAGGACCGACCCTGGTTGGACCACCGGACCGCTTGGGCTCCCGCTCCGGTGCCAGTGAGATGGCTCTTGCCATGGAAATGGCGAAGCATCATCTGGCGGAATCCTCACCGACCTCGACACCACCGGTTTCTGGTCCAGTCACGCCTAACGACGTTGGTCTGGCAACCACGGATAAATACGCGTTTGCCTTTGATATTGATGGCGTCCTCATCAAAGGAGGTAAAGTGATACCGGAGGCGATTGAAGCCATGAGAGTCCTGAATGGTGAGAATGAATTCGGCATCAAAGTGTAAGTGTTTGCAGGAGCTTCAATGGGCACCATACTAATCCTGGGAACAAGGCCGTATATCTTTGTGACCAACGGGGGTGGCAAGACAGAGGAGGAACGGTGCATCCAGCTCAGCAACCAGCTTCAGATGGAGGTGTCCCCGGGCCAATTCATCTGTGGGCATACACCTATGAGAGAAATGGCCGAGAAATACGAGACCGTCTTGGTGGTTGGTGGTGAGGGCGAGAAGTGCCGCGAGGTCGCCAAGGGGTACGGCTTCAAAGACGTTATCACACCGGGAGACATCATCAAGGACAACGAAGATACCACGCCGTTTCGAAAGCTGACTGAACAGGAGCGGCAACTCTCACACGGCCGCAACTACGGAAATATCAACATCGAGGCTGTGTTTGTATTTGCCGACAGTCGGGACTGGGCAGGTGACTCTCAAATCATCCTTGACTTGTGCATGTCCAAGAACGGCCGTCTGGGCACCCGGTCAGAGACCTTCGATGAAGGCCCACCTGTGTTCTTTTCCCACAATGACGTGGTCTGGGCAACATCGCACACGTACTCACGAATTGGCATGGGTGCACTCCGAGCGTCGCTCGAGGCCATGTTCCGAGCCATCACGGG